ATGCAAAACAATCGACTTAAGTCTACTGTTCTAGCAAAAGCATAGTGGTTTGAAAACTTTAAATGTGTATGGAGTAGTAGTTTACAGATGCATATATCAAATATGACAACTTTAAATTTATTCCCTTTCTTAATTTTTCAAAATTTTTGTTCGGAAGATCAATCAAAACTTTTATACGTGAAAAATTTGTCTCAAAAAATGGAAATATTTTAGCTTTTTTTTTGCAGTTTTCAATAATAATGAGAACCTTATTGACATTTGCTGATGTCAGCTGCTTTGGTTAAACTGTTGCTTTAGTGAAATGTTTTGTTGTTTATACCGTATCGTCGGATGAATGTAAGTTCTGAAAATTTTCCGAAAACCTGCTGCTAAGAATGTTAGTTAGTTAGATTAGCATAAATGAATTATAGGTCTGTATTGTAACAGCAGCCTGCTGTAATTCTTGTCTTTCAGCAACCAAAAGAAGTTATTTTTAAGCAGTGTAATATCCATAGTTTTCGCTTTGGTTGCTGTATAAGTAACAGAGTGTTTTGTTTATTTATTTTATAATTTTTTTTGTCTGAATCCTGTAGTGCTATTTTTTTACTACAGTTTAAATGTATCTGTTATGTTGGCTGTGATTAATCTAAATTTTTGGATATTTTTGATGATTTAACTATGCAATATTTTGTGTGCTATCGACTTTTTTGTGTTACTGAATAGAATTCTGGTTGTATTGTGTATTATTTGTATATGTTGATACTGCATTTTTGATGTTTATTTTTTATTTATAAATAGATTTTTAATGTTGGTAAACATTAATAAAAAGTGTTTTAAAAAAAAGATTTACGTATTTGTTATAATCGGCATATAAAACCTAAAGGAGACAAGGAAAAAATTTAAAGAAACTTTAACTGCATTAGCAATTATCCAGTCAAAGCATCACTCAGACTAATCAATCAGTTAGTTATCACTCAATTTTCACTTTAACTATTAATTGTGCCCTAACTCTGGAATTAGCTAATACTACTACTACTACTACTGCTGCTGCTGCTGCTGTTTCACGGAATGATGATGATGATGATGATGGTGTAACACGGACACAAATATTTAACGTTAACAACTATCGGCTACTTGGCAACCACATTTTTTTTCTTGTTGTTGTCACTTTAAACTGTTCAAAGTATAGTATATAGTCTTTGCTGGAACAAAAAAAATAAAATTTTATTTTCTTTTTCTGCTTCTCAATTAGAACCTTAAATTTTTTTTCCAAAGATTTGCCGATTGTATCAAAACAAGATTTCACTTCTTTATTTATTTATTTTTTATTTCTTTATTTTATACTTATCAGATGACGCAGAAAACCTGTTTTAACTGCAGTTACCACCAGCAAATACTTAGCTGCATTCGGCAAAATAAAAGAATGTTATAGAGCCTTGTTAAATTTAACAATCATTTATTTTAAGCTTATTAATCAGTGTCATTGGGCACTGATCGCACATACAGTTGGAACAGATCGGTAACATTTCTTCCAATTGCTTCTCAGCCCACTGTTATAACCAAAAAAAAAAAGTTCCTCTTAGTATTTTTCCTGACAATTTTTTTTTTTTTGTTCTATTATCCCAACACCCTTGATCCCTCTTTCTCTCTTCCTAATCATATGTCGACACTGATAATTGGGCTACAGAAAAAGTAATAATTAGAAATAAAACTAGTCATAAATATAACATGCAGTGGATCGAGAGATTAACGAACTATAAAGTAAATATTAAACTAACTAGCCTTTTAAAAAGAACTGAACATAGCCAAAAACTTTTTTTGGCTGTTCGGCCAGTTAATTACATTTACCATAGAATAACAAATTCAAATAAACAAGATTTAAGAATAAAATAAAGAAGATGAAACTTTTACAAAGAAAAAAAAATAGTCTTTGGTGCTGTTAATGGTAGTAAAATGTGAAATAGGTCTGAAGGACTCATAAATGATTGTTGTTTATTCAATACGACGACGTCTGCGAGTACCCGATGTTGGCACAATTGGCGGATCGCAAACAGCTTCACGTCTGCAGAACTGTTTCTCTTCGGCAAAACCATAGCAACGGCAACCAGGGTCTCCAACACATTGCCTAGAAAGTACCAAACATTATAAGGATTTGAATCAGGTGATTAGCTGAGCGTCTCAAAAGGATTACTTAGCCGGTTTTGTTACGTAAGTTGAGAATAAATCTAATACGGAAAAAAGTACGAAAATCCCATATCTTGTAAAACACGGTATATTTGCAGAGTGAAGTAGTGCACACTTGTTGTCAAAGCAGCTGTAATCATAATGAGCTAATACTTCTTACCTAGTACGAGTCATTGTAGCATTTCTGCATGGATCTTTATCTGGACACTGACTCCATGGACACCATTCTGTCCAATTACATTGTGGAGGACATCTCTGTTGGTTGCAATCCTGAATTTCCTTGTCAGAACCAGGACAAGAACATGATGGGTCGGACACTTGCTCGCCATCTTCAAACAACAAACGTAAGAAGTATTATAGTATTGATTTAAATAACAACTATCTATTAAACATTCTAACTGCAAACAGCAAAGTATTAGTGGATTTTTTGAAAAACCCTGAAGACGAATTCAAGGCTTACTTGCAGTCTGACGAGTGCAGAATCGTTGTCTTATCTTCTTTCCGCCACCACAGTCGCGGTCGCAAACACTCCATCCACACCAGTCGGACCACTGGCAACATGGTCCAGCGTCACATGCAATGGATTCCTATAAATCTTTCATTATAATTAAATATTAAAAACAGTATGCAAACAATTGTATCACTGTTATTATTTTTTACATAAATTAGTTTTCGAATTTATCACACTTAAAAAAAACAAAAGTTGTTTGCTTCTCAGCGAGATTGCAATGCTTATTAGCTCCAATTATACCTGTTTGACACCCGGGCAATCTTCAGAAGGTCCATACGGCGTTAAGCATTCTCTGTTCCTTGTCTTTTGACCGGGGCCACATTGTACATTGCAAGCAGACCACGGTCCCCAAGGGCCCCAAGACGGGCATGGGCCTTCTCTACACGGCTGAGTTTCCTAAAGTACTCGGGTCCTGTAGGTGGCAAGGATGTTTGAAGATATTGTCATTTATAATTAGTAAAAGCGTAAAAACCTCTGCAGGTCCTGGACAGTTGCCGCCAACACAGTACCTCCTACGGGTTTTGAAACCATCTCCACAGGTGACACTGCATCGTGACCATTGTTCCCATTCGCTCCAGTATGGGCACATTCCCATGTCACATTGCTCGGTTTGTGATCGCTCACCTAAAGTTGCCAAGAATGTTAAACATATTGGACTTAAATGAGCTAAGTTAATCTTTTACACACCTTCGCAGTATCCGCCAAGGCAGGTTCTGTGTCTTTCTTTTGTGCCTGTTCCGCAAGTTACTGTACACTGTGACCATTCTTCCCACTGTCCCCAAACTGGGCAAGGTTGCAAGAAACATTCTTTTGATTCCTTTAAGCATTAATTGTAGGACGTAATGGAAAGCATCTTGTAATTAGAAAGCTTAATACCAACTCTCGTTACAAATTTCCATTTATTGAAAGCAGCTAAGCATAAAATGATTGGTGGAAACTTAATTATTTTTAATGGAACTTTTATTACCTGGTCTGATCCAGGACAGCCATATCCGTTGCAGTATCTCCTTCTGACCATTGTTCCTGGTCCACATGTCACAGAACACTGAGACCAGTCTTGCCAGTTAGACCAGGTTGGGCATGGAGGTAGGTAGCAAACTTCTTGTTCAGTTGGCATTCCTGAGAAAAACTTGTTCTCTTTTGGTCAGACAAACAGTAAGAACAGTACTTCTTAGCAAATGTGCTTCATGGCTGAAATTACCAACGAAGTTGTTATTAGACAAAAGTTTTGGTTACCTGGGCATGAATCTCCTCCCATGCAATGACGTGATCGTGTTTTCAAACCTTCGCCGCAAGTTACTCCACAATCACTCCACTGTCCCCACATAGACCACTCAGGGCAGGGAGGCATATGGCAGGATACTTTCTCCATTGGGTTACCTGAAATTTTAAAGTTACTATCGATCACTGAGTGAAATTCATTTAATCTCGCTAATCATTTACGGTCTGAGAATTTAAACTGAGGCACTAAGTAGCGACAGCAGAGGTCTGTTAGTAAAGCAACTTACCTTCGCAATAGTCTCCACCTTCACAGTAACGAGAACGGCTTTTTGTGCCTTCACCGCAACTGACTGAGCACTCACTAAACGGAGTCCATTCTCCCCAGCACGCACAAGGTTGCTCATTGCATGGCATACTCTCCACAGAGCTGCCTGAATTAAAGTGCAGTTATACATAAAAGCGAGAATTAGGGAAGGCGGATCTTGATGTTTAAAGCCCCTTCTAGGTTAAAGAAGCTGAAATTACCTGGGCAGAGATTTCCAACAGTGCATGTCCTGAATCGTTGAGAAGTGCCACCACCGCAAGTCAAACTGCAGACTGACCACTCGCTCCATTGCATCCACTCAGGACAAGGTCCCTGGTTGCATTGGTCCTCCTGAAGAAAAACCAAAATTTGTGTGGTTTATATCGCAAGAATGATAAAGTTCTCTTTAGGATTATAGCAATAACGTGGCACTTGAGCATTTAAGCACAGAAATGCAACTAAACAAACTTCGTGATCAGAACCATCACATCTTCCAAATCCGAGATCGCAAAATCGGCTTCTTTCACGTTTTCCAGGGCCGCAAGTGACTGTAAAAAATGAAGCGCAGGTTCAAAGTTTCAGGTCGTTACTCACTTTTTTCTGATATAAAGAAACAAACGGTTGAAAAATCAGAGCCGCTATAACTATGAACGTAGCACGTAAAATTAATGAAAATGAAAGATCAAATGTTCTTAAACAGACGAACAACGGCTGTTAGCTCGGTATAAAATTGTCACACATGATACTTTAAGTATGATATCTTCTACTCTACGTCATTTGATCAAAGTGTTTTGAGGTGGAAAAAAATTGCTCAGTACAGAAGTTTTAATCCGAATAAAAATTTGATATAAAAAGGCATTTTTTAATTGGGAAAGGAAGTCACCTGAACAAGGAGTCCATTCGCACCACGGGCTCCATGTACCACTGCACGGAGCTCGTTCACAGTCACGAGTTTCAGTAGATGGTCCAAAGCATGCGGAAGTGGTGCAAATTCTCGAACGTGTTTCAGTACCTTTGCCACATGTGACTGAGCATTCTGACCATGGTCCCCATTCCAAATAAGCTTCAACAGGTTTACGGTTAGTTTTTACCGGATGTTTCTTAAACTAATTGTTGATTTACTTATCTTACGCTACGTTCGCCGTTATTTTTGATATTGATGAAGGGCGGCACAGATTGATAGCACTATCGACTTTGGAATGGAAAAAATAATTGGAATTTTTACCACACATTTTTTTTTACATCAAGATATTTCGTGGATGATTGATTAAAATAAACAACTATGGGGAGTACCGTGCATCGTTGGCGGTTTCGGTGTTATAGTGCCAGTTTCACCCTGCGCCTCCTTTGTAACACCGAATGGAGCAGGGCATTCTTGTGGGCAAGGAGAAGGACTGGGTACTGCTGGATGTACCTAAAAACAGTGTTTACTGGTGAAAACTATGATGCTTTATCAAAATTTGAAATGTTAACTATTTGCTGGTTAATAGCGTAATTATTTTCCGTTTTGGAGGTGTTTATTCGGAAATGTGTTAAATTGTATGTTTGTTAAGAAATACAGTTACAACGGACACATTAGTCAAAAAATGAAGTTTTTTACGGTAAACAGCGGCAAAACTTAGCGTCAGTTTTTTAGCTTTTTGCTGTCAAACCTCTATTTTTTTTTGCAGCAAATATTGTCTGAAGAGTACGGAAAAAAACTATTTGTAGAATTAGTGAATGTGCTAGATAATAGTTGATTAAAATTTTTTCACGTTGCTGTTTGTAATCTTCTTATAAGATTAATCTAGTTTTTTTTTATTGAGTTTTCTTAACAAGTTGTTTTGCTGATATTTAACAGTGGATTAAGGAGAAAACAGTTATTAATTTAATTTTTTGTAATGGATTTAGATTTTTGTGAAGTAAATCTTTACTTTCAATTTTCTAGCATAACAACTTGAGTTTTTGGAACAAAAAAAAAGGTTTTATAGAAGGTTGATTGATTTAAATCGTTGTTTTTGTCTATGGTATAAATCACGTTAACTCGACTGATTTATTGTTTACTACATGTTATTGATTTCAAAAAAAAAAAAAAAAAAAGCATTTTAACTTCTAAAAAAAATTTTTGAATATTTCTACTGGCTTTGAGCACCTTAAATTAAATAATTTAAAGCAATGTAAGTATATGAAACCTGGCTTCCTGGATTATAATCAAGCTTATAGCAACACAACTGCAGTTCTTGTTTTTTATGTTCTTCCATACGTCGTGTGTATTCGTCTCTGAAACATTCGTCGTTCAAATTCTTTCGATCAAACTTTTTGGAAGATTTTAATGTCGAGTTCACAACTGGTTAAAATTCTTTTTTCAGCTTTATAACTTGGATAGATCTCGCTAAAATATTCTGCTTTACAAACTAATAAAAGCTTACGAATATGCTGGCGGATGGTTGTAACCGTAGGGTGGGTAAGGGGTGCTTGGCGGAGCAGCTTCTGCTGGTGCGTATACAGGGTGCGATTGTTGAGGATATTTGGGTGCACACTGACGTTTCTGGATCTTCCTACCGTAGGCGCAGGTTTGCGAACGAATTTGTGAGTCTAAATGTATTTGCATTTTGTTAGATAAAAAGTTTTGTGCCTTGAAAAAACGGAAGATAATTTGTTGTTAAACGAGCATCATAACGTACTGGCATGGTTACAAGGTGACCATTTTGACCATGGACCTGTTGCTGGGATTGGCTTGTGGAAACCAACGGCTGAAAAACAATTGGATTATTCATTGGAACAGGTGGAATATTAGAACAGCTAATAAAATATGCGCAAATTGTTGAATGTTAAGCTAACCTCTTTTGTCACGGCCAACTGTATCTGAGGATACAACAAATGGATCAGGAAGTGGTGGGAATGGATCGAATTCGTGGCAGTTCGATACAATTTCTAATGCTCTAATTACATCTTTATTATTTTTCGGCTTCTCAGGTACCAGTGCAACCTTAAAATAGTAAAATTTTTTAAAAATTTAGCGTCTACTGGATACTTTGACACTTAATCGTACTGTTGATAATACACTGTGAACAATTTAGGTACTAATATTAGTCCAGCAATAACAGATCGAATGCTCAGGAAAAGTTTAGTTACTTACATTTTCGTTAACACTGTTTCGATCAAACAAGAAGCAAATATGGTTGACTTTTTCACCAAAAACGTAATAGAACACAACTAAAATTAACGATTATTTAGGTGTTAATAGTACTGATAATATAAAGGTTTTTTTTGAATTAAATACAGGATAAAGGTAGTAAATATAGGTGACTACTATAAGCTTCAATGAGCTATAATTTATAGCCTAATTGCTCTAATTAGAACAGCTTTGTTACAACAGTTATGTTAGACCGTTAAATAAAAAAAGCAACAAATTTCTTTTTTTTTCTTTTCTTTTATCACTTCTATTATTTTTGTCATTATTTATTTAGACAGCACTCGTTTCAGAAAAAAAAAAAACAAAACAAAAGCGAAAGAAAAATAGTCATCAATAAAACTAAAAAAAAATTATCTATTTTTTTCTTTCTGACAACAGTTTGATAAATGACTGGTTATTTTAATAGACACCTAAATTTGATTATCGATATCTGTTTAATGAATGCCTCCTCAAAAAAAAAAGAAGAAAAATAACCTGCTGTGCATTTTGGATGAAGTTCCATACAACTTTTCTGACATTTGCTGGCTGAATCTACAAGAAGTCTGGAAAATGGTTGAACACCAATAAATGCTGTATTATTATGCATACGAGCACATAATTCTTCCACCTATAATATCCTTCTGAATTAATATTTCCTCAAAATAAATCTGGAAGGAAAAACAACATTTTTTAAGTATAATGATGCTGTACCAAACAGTGCTTTAACACATTTACTTATATATCTCCGGTTTGATCATTGTAAAAAAGATGTATTCTTTTCAAAATTTTTTTTTCTAGATTAAATAGGAATCAAAGAAACAGTAAATTGCTATTACCTTATCTTTACCGTGTTTCTTCTGGAAAGCTGTAGGGCCTAAAATTAGCCAACATTAATTATAATTTATTAGTTGAAATCAGAATAAAAAAGAAGAAAAAAGTGTAACAATTGTTTTGGCTTCAATTTTATTGAATAATGAAAAAATTTACTATAAAACTATACGTCTGCAAATGTTTTATTTTTTGTCTCATTTTTCATTTTGGTTACAATTGACAAGTCTGTCATAATAAAGTGATGAGATAGAAGAGGAAAAATGGAAACATGAAAAATTGTATGCACTTTACTGTTGTCAGCCACTGTTCCTCTAAAGCACTTAAGAAAAGGTTGGCTAACAAAAAAAAGAATGGCAACAGATATTAAACTATCTGAATGTTTTTGATCCAATAATGAAAAGCAAAAGCAAAAAAAATTTTTTTCTTGGTATTATTAAATACAGAAAAACTCGATTAAATGTTGCAAATAAATAATTGTTTTCTGTTGGTCATTGTCTAATCTAAATCCTTTTCGGCAGTCATCCTTTATATCAAACATCTATCTATTTTGGCGTCAATCTTGTCAATTCTGTTTGTACAGAGATCAAAAATAAAATGAACAAACTATCTAATGAAATAACACTGACTTAATAAAGTTAGAATCTGTAGTTAGAAAATTTAATTTCAAAAACGACTTTTGCCTCTTGTCAGTTTTGTCAAAAACAAATTCGAAAATTCTTAACATTTAAACAAGCAGTACCTTAAATTTTTATTGATTCTACTGGTTTTTTAATATTACTTTTTAAGATCAAAAACAACAACTGACAATATTTGAAAATTTTTCATTGTCAAAAAAAAATTTTTTTTTAGGTAAACAATTTCTAACCGAAAAGTAATTGCACATATAATTTAACTGCTTTTTCGTCTTCTTTTTTTTCTTGTTTTCAATTTATTGACCAAAATAAATGTGTAAAAAAAAAAAA